TAAAGGTGTGGGTCAGTCGGGCGGTGGTGGCGCACGCCTTTCATCCCAGCACTTGGGAGGCACAGTCAGGCAGATCTCTGTGAGTTCGAGGCCAGCCTGGGCTACAGAGCGAGATCCAGGATAGGCTCCAAAGCTACACAGAGAAACCCTGTCTCAAAAAACCAAAAAACCAAAACAAAAAGTGTGGGCCATCACTGCCCAGCTATGTACAGATGTCTTTTAATTGTTCATTTTGATTCAATAATTAAGGGGTGTTTTCTTTTCTTTCCTTATTTCTTTTTTCTCCTCCTCCTCCCTTCTTTTTTTTAGGCAGTTACAGGCTGGTCTCATTCATGGTCATCCTCCTGCCTTTGCCTCCCTGGTGTTAGGATTACAGTCATGAGCCAGTGTGCCCCACAGAGGACATCAGCTTTATCTTAAGAAGAGAGACGGAGTTAGACAACGTGAGCAATCTGGAGGGTGATGGTAGCCAAGGAAGAGCAGCTAGAGCTAATTACAGATATCTACTCCATAAACGGTAACCGTGTGGTGTTATTCAGGTTGGAGCTAGTTTTGCCCCCCTCCCTCTTCATCAATAATAAATGTGGTACCCCATCAATCAAGAGTTCTGCCTGCACTGCAAACAGATCTCGCTAAGTGGACAGAAAGGGCCGGGCTGACCAAGAGCTACCGAGAACATTTTACATCTTCAAACCCTCAGCAATTTGGCCATGTGTTTAATAGCGCTGGCCTCCGAAGGTTCCAGCCCGATCCTTCTTCTTCTTCTTTCTTCTTCTCTGGCCAAGAACACCACTTTACTGTGTCCATGATGTTGGATGGGTCTCTTAAAAAAAAAAAAGAAAAGAGCCTTCTATGGCCCCTCTGTGGCCAGCACAGCGGCTACCCTTCTGTCTCGAATCCATTTGAAATGGCTGTAAAATACGGCTGGCAAAGCCTGGCGGTAAATCTTCCCCCTTTCATTCAGAAAGACTGACAAAGAGAAGCGTCTAGGAGAGGTCTCTCCAGCTCGCAGGTTTCCACTCCCGCTGGGCTGGCCGGACTTCTCTGGCTTGACCACCGTATATATTTCCTACCCTGTTTCTCCCTGACCAGAGCAAACTTAAGGCATGTAGTCTAACGTGTGGTGTCTCCGTGATAGAGAAAGAATACATACGAGGCTGTACTTACTCCTGGCTCCCAAGGGGGTGGGGAGGGGGAGTTTCGTGGTTGTTTAAACCACTCAAGTACCCCTCTTTCTGTGTCTTGGTGGAAAATAGTGAGGTTCAGCTGGAAAACAGGTTTTTCTGGCTGATTAGCCTTAAGATGGATGCTTCTCTCGACAGAGGGAAGCCAGGGACTGTCAGGAATGTTTCCAGGCAAGAAGGGTCGGGAGGTTGATGCCTGCGATGGAGACACAGGGGATTCGATTGTGTTTCCGAACCCACCAGCTCTGAGGATAGTGGTCTCCCCACCTGGGCAAGAGCTTTAAGAGACCAGCACATCCCTTAGTCTTATTGATTGGAATTTCATGGTCCAGGCAAAGGGACAAGCTGGCAGGAAAAATGAGCTTTGCATGCTGAGCGGAAAAATAGCCGCTTCAGACTCATCTATTCTGATAAGAGGGAGCAAAGGCAGCCAGAGGCTCTTCCCCGTCCTCAGCACCCAGGAACTGAGGCCAAAGCTCCCGGCTCTCCCTCTGGGTGGGGGTGGGGCTTGGAGAAAAATCCTGGGCTTGCTTGAAACTGTAGGGTGTTTGGAAGCTGTTATTCTTATATGGTGATTATGACAACGAGGGAGACACCTCTTGGGAGAGAAATTAATTGATATTGGCAGAACACGGCAAGTCTCTCCCCTCCCCTCTCCAAGCTGGAAAAAGTGTGGCTGTGCAGGGAGTTTGCGAGATGACGCAAGAGAATGGATTGTGCCGGTTCCAGTAGATGGTAGATAAGCTGCTCTTCTGGGGGTGCTGAAAGACAGATTTAGGGTGTCCCGTTCCTTCTCCAAGGAAGAGCCAACCACGGAAATTGGGGTGGGGGGCGTAATTGTGATCTCATACGCATTCAAGCAGCCTCAGAAGCCACGTGTGGCATTTCCATCCTTTCTCTGATGTGTTTCCACGGAATGGCTATGGATCATTTTAAAGTTCAGACTGAATCATCATCCACCACTAGGAGGAATTTTTTTGTTTGTTTGTTTTTGTTTTTCGAGACAGGGTTTCTCTGTGTAGCTTTGGAGCCTGTCCTGGAACTCGCTTTGTAGACCAGGCTGGCCTCGAACTCACAGAGATCCTCCTGGCTCTGCCTCCCAAGTGCTGGGATTAAAGGCGTGTGCCATCACCATCCGGTGGGAGGAAGATTTTTAAAATAATAATTATTAGACTGGGCGTGATAGCACACACCTTTAATACCAGCATTGGGAGGCAGAGGCAGGCAGATCTCTGAGTTCAAGGCCAGCCTGGTCTACAGAACAAGTTCCAGGACAGCCGGGGCTACACAGAGAAACCCTGTCTTGAAAAACAAAACAAAACAATAGTTATTAGACTTGGGAGGCCCAGCAGACTCTTATTACTGCCTTCTGCTTTGGATCAATTTATCTCATTATCTGTCTTCCCCCCGCCACACACACACACACACCCACATACTTACTTTCACCTTTTGATAATTTGAATTGTTGCTCCTCTCCCCCTCCCCAGTCCACGCTCCTGTGCCTTGCTCTTGCTGGGTAACTTGGTCACCCCACACCTGACTTTAGAGTCGAAGGTTGATGATGCGATGTGCTTGGGTTCGTTAAAGCTGGGCAAAAAGGGCGGCAGGCCAGTTCTCAGCCAAGGTTGTAAGAGGCAAAGCACAAAGCTACTTGTCTTCCATGTCTCTGCCACTCTTCTTCTTTTTTTTTTAATTATGTTTGCTTATTTATCTATTTACGTGGTGTGTGTGTGTGTGTGTGTGTGTGTGTGTGTGTGTGTGTGTGTGTGTGTGTCTTGGGTGGGGGCATGCGCTGGCTACAGTGCATACATGGACGTCAGAGGATAACCTGTGAGAAGCAGTGTTATACCACCATGTGGATCCTGGGGGGAATTGACTCAGCTTGTCAGACTTGGCAGTAAGCTAAAGCTCATGAGCCATTTCTCAGGCCTCAGGTCACGGAATGGAGCCCGGGCTGCGACTAGAAGCTGATAGAAGCACCTTGCTGAACTCAGCCAAGATCAGCCCAAGTCTGGAGACAATGTAAAAAAGGCCTCTGATTGAAAGCCTGGATTTTTTTTTTCTTTCTGGCTGTTTAATCTCTCCCCAGTAGCTGACCAATACAAGATACCTTCTCCCCCCTCCCCCCCAGGGTTTCTCTGTGTAGCTTTGGTGCCTGTCCTGGATCTCGCTCTGTAGACCAGGCTGGCCTCGAACTCACAGAGATCCGCCTGCCTCTGCCTCCCAAGTGCTGGGATTAAAGGCGTGCGCCACCACCGCTGGCTTGTTCTTCCTTTTCATCATGGTTTGTCTTTGTGAGTTCGAGGCCAGCGTAGTCTTCAAACTCCAGGACAGCCAGCGCAACACACAGAAACCCTGTCTCAAAACAACAAAAACAAAAACCCCACCCACCCACCCAAACAAACAAACAAAAACCCCCAAAGGGCTCATGAGTGGTAAAGACTGCTCTTGCAGAGAACCCAAGTTCAATCCCCAGCACCTCACAACTACCTGTAACTTCTGTTCCAGGGGATCTGATGCCTCTGGCTTCTTGGACATCTGCCTTCACATGTACAGACCCACGCACTCATACGTATAATTTAAAAAAGAAATCATAAAAAAAAGAGGTCTCAGAATAGATGGTAAATCACCTGGTGGCTTGAACTAGGGGAGGTGAAGCCAGGTACACAGGTCCCCACCTGATGCTGCATTGGCACACTGTGATGGTTCGTTTTCGGAGCTCTGGGATTACAGGTATGAGCCACTACTTCTGGCTGAAACGTTCCTCTGTACCATTCCTGTCGCCATGGCAAACACTTGATTCACAGTCATTAACGGTGTCATTCCGGCCTCACATCCATCACCGAGGACACATGGTGGGGGTTTGTTTTTATTTTACAGACCAGGAAACTAAAAAACAGACAGGTTGAGTCACTTACCCCAAGTCACAGATCCAAGAAGTCACAGGGTCAGGATTGGCCACTCTGGGGTCCTCTGTTAGGAGACCACATCACCTGGGACCTGCTGATCCCCGGGCTCAGAGTCAAGACTCTGATCTTGAGCAATGTCATGCTGTGGCGATGTTTGCGTGGGGGACCAGGGTGGCGGGCTGTGGAAGCCACACGACCTGGGTGTGGGATGGTCATCCAAGGCACGAAATGGCTTAGAGTGAAAGAACAGACTTTGGTTCCCAGGGGTGATGAGTCACCCAATAGAGAGGTCAATTTAGCAAGCACTCCAGAGGCTCTGTTCAGTTCTCAGAAGTGGAGAGGAGATTGGCAGCTTGTGGGAGAAGCGGAGAGATGCTCAGGGGGAGATAAGCGGGACTCAGCAAAGGTCTCTGCAGCTCAGACCTCAGGGCTAATGGGAAAACACCCAACTCGGGGTTACAGCCCATAAGTGGGGAGAGGGAGATGAGAGATAGAGGCAGTCGAAGTCGGGCTAATGGAAGACGAGGGAGACTTTAAAAGGCAATAAATCAGGCTTGCCTGGCTGGTTTCTACCCAGGAATTCTGTAGTGGGTAGTTAACTCAGCAACTGGATGGGATCTCACCAGGCTCCCAGCAGGGGCAATGGACTTACCTTGAGGGGGATGTCCTCCCAGGACAGGCTTGGCTCGGGGCTGGGAGAGGCCCTGGGGAGACTTTGGAACCCCAACAAGTGGGAATTTGGGCCGGTGGCAGAGCGCTCTCTCACCTCAGTCACTGGGGAACAGTCTCAGCAAGAGTTAATCAGCCCACAGGGTGAGGAGACCACAGGACATTGTTTATTTACCTACTTCTAACAAAACCCTTCCCAGAAGGCCCGGGTGGTGATTCTCTGTAATTATATCTCTAGTGAGGTTCCGCAGCAGGTTCACCAGCCTGTTAACTCGTTAATGCCCGAGGTGCACCTGGAAGAAGGGCCCGGCAATCTGGAGCGGTGCCCAGCTTCTACCCGCCACCTGGAGGGAAACTGAGGCACTTCTCTGGCTTCTACAGCTTCTCTGGCCAGGGATGCAGACCAGAGGTGAGTTAAAGGCATGTTTTCCCAAGTACTAAGTGTTAAAAAGAAAACTATCATCGGACATCTAGGCATGAGTTCCATTCCTTTACTGTCCAGGGATGCTGTGTGACGTTGAAGAAAGTTACTCAACTGCTAGGAACTTCGGCTTGGCGGACAAATGAAGACCGGTGACTGTAATGGGGTGCACCAACTTCCCGGTGAGTTATAGAGAGACCCTCAAGTTCATGTGACAATGAGAACGGAGTTTAGGTTAGACTCTGGGTTCAACTTCACCTTGTCGACAGCTGTTGAGAGATCTAAGACTAATTAGCTCCACAAGCACAGTAGAAGCAGAGGTAAGGGTCCCACTTTCACAACTCACATTGAGTTACCAGTCCAGGCACCAGAAGTAAACTTGGTGGCTTCAAGAATGGTAGCAGAAATTCCCAGCATGCCCCTCTGCACTGAACTTCTGGCTCGTCTTAAGGGCCGGAGTCTGCATCCCTTTTCCTTGAATTTGGATGGATCCTGGGACCTAACTGTACCAATAAGACATAATGGAGATGATGCCTGGAGTCTGGAGGGAACCTGCATTTGGAGCTGTGGCTCAGTGGATAAAGAGCAAGCATGAAGGCCTGAGTTCGATCCCCAACGCTGCACACATCAGTAGTTCCAGTCCTGGGAAAGGGGGAGGCAGGAGGATTAGAAATTCAAGGTCATCCTCAGCTACACAGGGAGTTCCAAGTGAGTCTGAGCTACATGAGACCCTGTCTCATTGAAAAATAAATACAATGAGCAAGGAGCAGGGATGCCTTTAATCCCAGCACTCGTGGAAGGAGCCGTCTCCATGGAACGTGACCAGAATGGACCAAACATTCTGCCACAGGAGATTGCCCTACTGATCAACCTGCTCAGCTGAGATCCATTCGGGAGAGGTTTCAGAAGCCTACAGTCTGCAGTCTGAGGAAACAAGATCAGCTGAGGAATTGACGAATGAGCAAAATGCAACCTGAGGAAAAAATAAATACAATGAACCAGGATGTAGGTCAATGGTAGAGTGCTCACCTAGCACGCAAGGTGCCCTGGGTCCATCCTCAGCCCAGCAAAAATTCCAAGAGCTCTCAGCACCCTTACATTTTAGTTGCAATTTTAAAGTATGCCTTAGGCTGGAGGCAAGAAACCACTCCTCCCCATCATCCATTCAGCTTGGGTGGATGTAACACAAGGGTGCTTTTCTCAAGCTAGCAACAGTGGGGGGCCCCTCACCCTTGGACATCAGGGACTTGGTAGTAGAATGTTTAGATATACATGTGATGCTAGGCTGCCCGATGTGGAGTCCTGGTGGCTCACAGCCCCTCTAGGGAGACGGCAGGACATGAATGCCCAGCTCCACCTCTCCTTAATCTGCACCCCTCCCTTCCCATCGACATCAATACTTCAAATCAACTGAGCCCAGCAAGAAGCTGGAAGCCAGGTAGGTGGCTCTCTGTGAGTTCGAGGCCAGCCTGGTCTACAGAGCTAGTTCAAGGGCACACAAAGAAACCCTGTCTCATAAAAGGAGAGGAGGAGGAGGAGGAGGAAAAGGAAGAAGTAGCCGCTGGAAACCTGGGTCTGCAATGGTGTGTGTCCTCAAGGCGCCCCCGGCCCCCAAGGTATGTACTCAAGGGCAAAGAGTAGAGAGACTGGAACATACATGGGGTCTGGGAGCTGGGATGCCCCCTTGCCCTCCAGAAGGCTCCTATTGAGGTCATGGGTCTTGACCGTGACCTTGGGACTGTTTTCCTCAAATAGAGAGAACTTGGGCCCATTTCAGGAGGTGCCCAGGGAATTTCCTGGAACAGAGGCATGATTCCCCAGCCTCGCACCAGACACTCTTGGCGCTGTCAGCACCAAGATAGCCTCAAGGGTGCTGCTGTGGCACTTGGAGAAGAATTCAGAGCGTGTGTCTCCCGGCCACTCTCCAGCCCCTCCCCCTACCGCAGCCTTATTTTAAAGGAAGCGCTTATTATCTTAGTTAGTGGATTTTGATGATTTCCCAGCTGTAGGACTTGGGAGGTTGGGGCGTGGAGCAAGGGGACCTCTTTGGGTTTTCGTTTTTCTCATCTGTAAACCAGAAGATTGCTGTCTCAGTTTGCTTTCTCTGTTGCTTTGACACACAGCAGGACTCAAAGCAATATGGAGAGCCAAAGGGTTTATTTGGCTTCCACATCCAGGTCACAGTCCACCCCTAAGGAAAAAGGAGCAGGAACTCAAGCAGGAGCAGAGGCGGGAACCATGGAAGATGGCTGCTCAGCGGTTTGTTCTCCCTGCCTGGTGTTCAGCAGTCTTTCTTACACAACCTAAGACCACCTGCCAAGGGGTGGGTTGGTCCCTCCTACATCAACCATCAATCAAGACAGTGCCCTACAGACATGGCCACAGGCCCATCTGATCTGGGCCATCCCTCAGCTGAGATTCCCTCTTCCCAGGAGACTCTTAGTTGTATCAAGTTGGCGACAAAAACTAACCCCATAATTGTAAATGGAATTAGGAATGTCTACGCAGGGCTTGGGGCACAGCTCAGCTGGTATGTACTTGCCTAGCACCCATGAAACCCCAGGTTCCACTCCAAGCACCACATTGAACAGGCATGGTGGCTCTTGTCTATAATCCCAGCATTGGAATGATGGAGGCTGGAGGGTCATAAATTCAAGGTCATCCTTGGCAATACGGGGAGTTCGAAGCCAACCCCGGGCTCCCGGAGACCCTGTCTTAAAACAACAGCAGCAGCATAATTGTGCTTAAATTGTTTAGGTTGCTGTCTACACTCACCATGACTGACTGCTCTTTGTGTCATCTCCATCTTCCTTTTTCTGGGTCTTGAAGCATAAACCTTGTCCTTTTCATAGAAGAAGGGGGGAGGGCATTGCAGAGGAGGCCTGTCTTAGTTGGGTTCTATTGCTGTGATAAAGACCATGACCAAAGGCTTTATTTGGTTTATGCAGCCAAGTCACAGTCCATTGAGGGAAGCCAAGGTAGGAACCTGGAAGGTAGGAACTGAAGCAGAGGCCTTGGGTCACCTGCCTAGGGGTAGCACCACCCACAGTGGGCTGGGCCCTCCCGCATTAACCAATCATTAGTTAAGAACGTTCCCCCATGGGCTAGCCTGGCTTGTGTCAAATTTGCAAAAGACTAAATAATACCAGGCTTTCCCATGGAGATTCCTTTGCAAAAGCCAAAATAAACCTTTCCTTAGATTGCCTCTGCCAGAGAGTCTGTCTCAGCAGCAGAAAAGGAACTAAGACCATGGAAGAGACCATGGTAGCTCTGCGCAGGGCCAAGACCTGGTGGTGGTGGAGCAAGGTGAGGGCTTTGATTTCTCTTTGGATGTGTGGTCTGCTCTTTTAGAAATGCAGAACACTGTGCTGTCTTACAGAATGCTGCAGACGTGTGGCTAAGACGACACACCTTTCTTTTTCCACAGTCTAGAGTCCAGAAGTCCAAGAACAAGGTCCCAAGAGGGTTGGTTCTGGTGGGGCTTTTCTTCTTGGTTAGCAGGCAGGTATCCACTGGTCACATCTGGTGGCTGTTCTACTGGACTCTATGACCTGCTCTCTCCACACATCCTGGTTTCCTCCTACAGGGCACCCATCAGTTCGGAGTAGGGCCTGCCCTTATTTATTATAATTGCACCTCCTCCTCCTTCTTCTTTATTTATTTTTTTTATTTTTTTTGGTGGTTTTTTGAGACAGGGTTTCTCTGTGTAGCTTTGGAGCCTGTCCTGGAACTCGCTCTGTAGCCCAGGTTGGCCTCGAACTCACAGAGATCCGCCTGGCTCTGCCTCACGAGTGCTGGGATTAAAGGTCTTCTTCTTCTTCTTCTTCTTCTTCTTCTTCTTCTTCTTCTTCTTCTTCTTCTTCTTCTTCTTCTTCTTCTTCTTCTTCTTCT